CCTTGATGTCTACAATATCACCCTTTTTGTAGATTCGCATGTATGTAGCCAAAGGAACAACCCCATGTTTTCTAAAAGGCCTGTAAAACATATACCGGGTTCCCCTCCTCTTGCCCTTTGTGTTAGTCATTTTGGCAAATTATGGAAGATGGTGGTTCCGGCCGAAAGGCTGAAAAATTAAATTTAAAACATTGTTAGAGAAATTGGGAAATTTTCATTTTAGCAAAACATTCTATCTATATTCCTCCAACTTCTTCTTCTTTTTTTTTTTTTTTTTTTTTCAGAACTGGGGATTGAACTGAGACCCTTGCCCTTGCCAGGGAAGCGCTTATTCTACTGAGCCATCTGCCTGGTCCCTATTCCTCCAACTTCTATGATACAGTATATAATAATATACTTTTAAGATGTAACATTTAAATGCTTAATTTACACAAATAATATTGTCATACTAATAATACTAATAAAAGTGATGTCCTTAACCATGAACTGTTCCGCTAATTGTGATTTCAAAATACTTTCTGAATTTCATTTTGTATTTTAGTTGGCCACTGGCATTACAGACTAATCAGTTCTGTGCTGACAAATAGAGGGTCCTAGTCAAAATACAAAAGTAATCACATTGCTTGAAACTTAACCACCATATAAAAATGGTAACTTTATCTAAACATTATTCATGGACAAAAACTGAGATGAATTCAGGCAGAGTGCTGAGTTCATGATGATTTTTTTTTTTTTTTTTTTTTTTTTTTTTTTAGTACTGGGGATTGAACTCAGGACTTTGCACTTGCTTATTCTACTGAGCTATCTCCCTGGCCCCATGATGATCTATTTACAGTAAAAGTACTTTTACTGATGCTAACATGATATATATGTTTCCATGCCAATTGCTACAGTCTCAAAGTTATAAAAATATTATATAAAATACCACAGACTGTACAGGATACAACTTCATGTGGTTCTGATACTAGCAGTTGAAAAGTGTTTATAATTTAAAAATAAATAAACTGTGGAGGTAAACCAGTTACAAAACAGCAGGGGACTGCAACAGTCATGAGAGTGTAAAGAACTGCTTAATTACACAACAGCTAACGAAATGGTGAAGCAGTTGGATCAGAAGTTTTAAAAACTGCTTTTTCTGGGAAACCCAAATGATGAATGACGCTGGTGCAGCGGGAGGGACCAGAGGCACCCAGGCCCAGCCAACGAGGCCGCGGCGCCTTCCAAGGAGGCTTCGGCAGTGGCCTTCGAGGTCGCGGGTGCAGCAGAGGGCGCGGCACTCACGGCGGTAAAACCGAGGACAAAGAGTGGATTCCTTTCGTGTCAAGAATGAGATTGCTTGCTATGGCAGCACACATATTAAAATTGGAACAATACAGAGATTAGCATGGCCCCTGCACAAGGATAGGATAAAACACAAATTCATGAAGTGTTCCATATTTTTTTCTTTTTTTTTTTTTTCATTTTGTCTTGCGTTTATTTGAACAGGAAGAGAGATTGATCATCATCTATTGAATTGATTTTTTCCCATAATTTTATTGAGAAACAAATAGCAACGAGACAGTTTCAAACCAAATTGGTAGGACAGTATCAAAATTAACACATCACATACATTCTTCCTAGTGGTTAATTGCTGTACAAGATGCAGACATGATAGCCTATTTACAAACACTATTAGAACAAATCACTCTATTCATTAAGAGAATGTAACTATATATCTATTCTAACCATTTTTTTTAAATAAAAAAAATTGTATTTACTTAGAAGCATTCAGAATGTCAACAAAACAGTTGCAACTTTTTTTGCAATTACAGAGTGGTATTCAGTTAACAGAACAACAATTATTTCGTATAAGCTGCATCAGAGACAACTGAAGATGAAAAGCTACCGTCCCCATATATAACTAATTTG